CAGTTTGTAGGAATATTGTCCTGCACACTGAGAAGTTGTGGGTTCGATTCCTAGTCAGGGCACATACCTAGGTTTTGGGCTTGATCCCTGGCCCGGATGGAACATGTGTGGGAGGCAACCAATGTTTCTCTCTCACATTGATGTTTCTCTCTGTCTCTGTCTCTCCTCTCCCCACTCTTTAAAATCAATGAAAATGTCCTCGGGAGAGGATTTTTTCTTCCTCTGTTTTTCCCTTCTTTCCTAACATTCAAGCAGAAGCAGGCTCAGGCTTCCTTGCCTAGGAGAGGTTTATGGCAAGGTAGCTTTCTGGCTTTTTTTTTCTCAAACACCTAAATTCTAGGACCACAGATTCTCAGGGGGACTGTCCAATTATATTGTCCAGAAAAGCAAAAAAGAACTGGTTTTCCTCTCTGCCAGGGCAGATAGGGAGTCCCCAGAAATGAAGGAAGAAGAAAAAGGTCCTGAGAGCGAGTTCCCAGACCTACTGCTGAGAGGAACGACTGTGGATGTAGCTATAACAGGCACCCTTGGCCTAGATTCTCAACCCTAAGTCTGGCATAGGCAGTTAAGAATCACTAAACCACAATCACTTATAAGGACAGGAACAATATGGCAACATCTGACCAAACATCAGATGGGATACCCCTCACTCACTCTCCCACAGGCTTATCCTGAATGTCTGTGTACCATGCAATCTAGGCACTACTCTGATATTATGACATATCCTGAACGAGCAAGGGGCCATGATGAAACCCAAGAAGAATTAAGGTTATGTTTTTCCCACCAGCAAGACAAAATGGCAACTCAGAATAAAAATTAGGTTTCTAGGGAACAGGGATATATCTCATATACTTGATTTTATGGACTGTCATTTACACCTGCCACAGAAATATTAAGAACCCACCATGTACAGGAATCCTGCCAGGCTCACTTGGAGTGGGAAATGGAACAGTCATGGTTAGCCAAGGCATTTGCAGTCTGGTAAGAGCAAACATGAATAAGGGTAGCTGTCATTAATTACACATGCTTGTGCCTGGCCGGTGTTGCTCAGTGGTTGAGCATCAACCTATGAACCAGGAGGTCACAGTTCGATTCCAGTCAGGGCACATGCCCGAGTTGTGGGCTTGATCCCCAGTAGGGGTTGTGCAGGAGGCAGCTGATCAATAATTCTCTCTCATCATTGATGTTTCTATCTCTCCCTTCCTCTCTGAAATCAATAAAAATATATACACTGAGTGGCCAGATTATTATGACCACCTGACATTTGTAGGCAAATTAGCTATAATTTCGTGCTGAAGTTGCTCGAGGGGCCAGACCATTATAAATAGGGAAGCAGGTTGTTTACCACGACAGTAGAAGTGATTTTTTTCTGAAGATATGGGTAAACAATGCGATTTAACAGCCTTTGAAGGCAAATACATATATATATATATATATATATATATATATATATATATCCCCTTCATTATAACTGCAAAACAAGTTATATATATCCCACGTTCAAAGGCTGTTAAATCGTGTTGTTTACCCATATCTTCAGAAAAAAATCACTTCTACTGTCGTGGTAAACAACCTGCTTCCCTATTTATAATGGTCTGGCCCCTCGAGCAACTTCAGCACGAAATTATAGCTAATTTGCCTACAAATGTCAGGTGGTCATAATAATCTGGCCACTCAGTGTATTTTTTTAAATTACACACACTTGTTGCACAGATTGTGCCTCACTGTAAGTGGTTCACATTTAATGGGATCTGCCTCACCACAACAGGGCTCCAAGGTTCAGAGGAGGCACGGGCCTTGGCTAAGGATGCTCACTAGTAATTGGTAGGACGTGGATATGACCAAGGGACACCTGCCTCCAAGTCCATTTTCATTCCTGAAGTAATGACCCTCCCATGGAGAGGCCAACCTGAGTGCTGTCCTTTGATAACCCAACATCCATTGGCCCTTGACGGTGGCTCCTTTTTCCGAGTTGGGGTGGGCATACGCCAAACCAAAATCTCTAACTTGGTGCTCAATGCATCCGCTGGCAGGTGACTGGCCAGGAAGCTGAGGTTGGATAGGAGACACTGGCCAAGGTGGCCATGTTGTTGAGACTCATAGCCTTGCTGTATCAAGTGCGTCAACTAGATGCTCTGAACAGTCCAGATTTTTATTTCCATTCACACCATCTTTATGTCCAGCAAAGAAGTGACACATATGCTTCTGGGTGGAAATCTCCTCTTTTCTATTTATGTGCAAAAGGAAGAATTTGATATTTGCAAAATGGAATTTTTTTAATAGGGAAAAACCTCATAGAGATGTTTTGCTTTGAGATGTAGGCTCTTAACTTGGTGCCTACAAAACTAGTTTAAATTCTTGTATGAAGCTTCCTAGAAACAATAAAAGGAAAATAAGCTGGTTCTGGTAATGAAATATTAACAGCTTTTTCTGAAGCATTAATTTACTGAACAAATGTTGAGAATGAAAGAAGCAGGCAAAAAAGAAAAGAAAAAAGAAGCAGGCATGTTAATGCTGTGAGAGCCGTGATTTATACATTTTCTATTGCTGCTTCTGCTATTTGATCCTGGAAAAATGACCAAAACAAATTTAAAATCTCAAAGGGAAACATATTGAGCCACAGAGAAGTAAAAACACAGAGAAATCAAACTTATAAGGGAACCACTGAACTTGCATCTTCTCATATGCAAACTGGACTGCAGAGCTGAGGACCCGCAGGAATCGGTTAGTCCAATGACCCTTTTTGAGATTCCAGGAGGCTAAGTGACTTGTCCAACGTCATGTGTTCACTAGAACACAGAGTATTATCGTTTCAACCAAACGGAAAGGGCACTGACCTAGGAGTGAGAAGGCCTTGCTTCTACTTCCCACTCTGTCGCTAATGAGTCGCTCTGTTTATAAAGTAAGGGCTAGATTAGATGGTTTTTGAAAATCCTCCCCTCTCTGAAGGGACTATAATTCTGTGAACATGAACATCAGTAGTTTTTGGAAACTCAGTAACTTATTTGAACAGGCTCTTATATATGGAGTTATGAGGGTGGGCTTAAGGGCCAGACGTCTGCCTCGCAATCCCGTCTCTCGTTTACTTGCGGTGAAGCCTGAACAAAGTACTCCACTACCTGCCTCACCTGCAGAGTGGAGAACACGACCACGGCCCTGACGACACTTAAATGAAGTAACACGCGAGGACCCAGCACAGTGCAGCACACAGGAAGTGCTCAGGGACGGAGAGCACCATTAGCCGCATCAGAGCGGAAAGGAACGGAGTCGGCGTTTGTGTGTGGGTATCAGAAGGCATCCCTTCATTTGGACAGAAGCACCCTGAGTGCTAAGGTGGGGGGATCGCAGGCTTGTGGCTGAGTCTCGCTTTTGTGGCAGCCACTCTCCGTGAGTGTTACGATGCAGGGCGTTAGAGGCTCAGAGGGCTGCTTGGAGGCAGGCACACTTATGCTCTCTCCTTCCTCTTCCTCATTTCTGCCTGGAATGCAGAAACAATGGCTGAGGTGCCAGCCACCTACGGATCATGTGGAAGGGCTAACGACTTTCACAGACTCAGTTCTTGACCCAATAGTTTAATGCCAGCAATCAGTGATCTCCAGACTTTTTTCATGAGAAAAAGTAAACTTAAACATTAATAAACATTTTTAGCTACTATTATCAAAATGCAATCCTATCCAAAATACCCTCCAAAATTGATTTCTCTTTTCTGTCAATAAATATTTGCAGACCTGCCCAGTCGGCCACTTGCCCCTAGCCACTTAGAGGTGCTCAGTGAGACTGCTATTGGCTGTCACTTATATTTTTGCAAAATGTCCACACTGTCCTCCAGGTCCTTGCTACTCAAAGCGTGGCCTGCGGGCCCGCGGCACTGATGTCCGAGGAGCGGGTTAGAAAGGCAGGTCTCTGCTCTGTCACAGGCCGGAGTCCGCATCTGCCTTGCAGAGTCCCCCTGCGCTCTGGGCACTGGGAAGCCTGGGGCTCAGCCACACTTCCCAGGCTCTGCTGTCATTCCTAGGGCAGCACTGCCAAGACCATCTTCCTGAGCAAAGTGCAGTCCCATAGGGGCCCCGTCCTGCCGCGGCTGAAGGTTAGGCTCTGTAAGCCTGAGCTCCAGGCCTGCAATAATAAAGTTCTATTCCTTAAGTCTGGCTTCACCGTGTCAAGCATTTGGGCTACAGTGCAAGAAACACACATGGTCCCTTGCCTTCATGGAGCTTGGAGACTAGCTGAAAGGTAAGATTTTTAAAATAAACTAAAATAAGTAATGATAAATTATAAGTGCTATGAAGGAAATGAACGGGCAGTGATACAGATTAAGACAGACTGGTCACAAGGATGGCTCGGCCCTGGCCGGTGGCTCAGTGGTTAGAAACTCGCCCACCGGCCTGGACTAGCGAGGTCAGACCCAGTGAGACTCCAACCCCAGCGCCTCGCTCGCGGGCTCCCCACTCCCTTGACCTGCAGGCTCCTGCCCGCCGAGGCGCGCAGCGGGGTGAGGCTGGAAGCAGCTGCGCCGTCCCTGGTCCCTGGGAGCATCACTGTGCACGCAGCGAGCCGCCTGTGAGCCCCGAGTCTGCCGCCCCCTCGGCGGCGCCTGGGAGCTGGCGCTTGCGTGACCGTGATGATCACAGCCCTTAATTATCATTCGCTTTCGGCAGAAGCTCATCCCAGATACTCCTGCCCCGCGCGGCCTCCCGACCCAGGCAGCCGCCCCCACCCAGCCCACCTCACCCCCGCGCACGGCCACCGTGACCCCCGCGCGGGCACCGGACGCCACCGCCGGACCCCCGTTACCTGGGGCCAAACACGGCTTGCCACCACCTCGCGTCCTGCGCGCTGCCTCCCTCCCAGCAGCTACCGGCCCCGCGGCGGCGGCGGCGGCGCCCCAGCCACCCGGCCCGGGCGGCGGCCACGCTGCGCGCACCGGCGGAGGGGAGGGGGCTCCGCGGCGGCGGCGGCGGGGGGCAGAGCCAGGAGGCGCGGCGGCGGCGGCGGCGGCGGCGGCGGAGGCGGCTGCGGGGAGCGGCGGGCGGCGGGCGGCCTGTCCGCAGTGGAGCCCGCGGCGCCCTAGGCGCAGGGAGTGGCCGTCGCCTCCCGCGCGCAGCGCTCCCGAGATGGCGGCGGCGGCGGGGCGGCGGCGCGGGGAGCCCGGGAGGCGCCAGCCCGGCGCAGGCTGAGCCCACCGGCCCGGCAGCTCGCGCAGGGCCCGCGCCGCGGCGGAAACGGGGCCGGCGGCCGGCGGAGAGGCGAGGCCGGGGCGGCCCCGGAGCGGAGCGTCGGCGGGAGGCCGCGATGGCGAACGCCAGCGAGCCGGGCGGCGGGGGCGGCGAGGCGGCCGCCCTGGGCATCAAGCTGGCCGCGCTGAGCCTGCTGCTGTGCGTGAGCCTGGCGGGCAACGTGCTGTTCGCGCTGCTCATCGTGCGGGAGCGCAGCCTGCACCGCGCCCCGTACTACCTGCTGCTCGACCTGTGCCTGGCGGACGGGCTGCGCGCGCTCGCCTGCCTCCCGGCCGTGATGCTGGCGGCGCGGCGCGCGGCGGCCGCGGGGGCCCCGCCGGGCGCGCTGGGCTGCAAGCTGCTCGCCTTCCTGGCCGCGCTCTTCTGCTTCCACGCCGCCTTCCTGCTGCTCGGCGTGGGCGTCACCCGCTACCTGGCCATCGCGCACCACCGCTTCTACGCCGAGCGCCTGGCCGGCTGGCCATGCGCCGCCATGCTGGTGTGCGCCGCCTGGGCGCTGGCGCTGGCCGCCGCCTTTCCGCCCGTGCTGGACGGCGGGCCCGAGGACGAGGACGCGCCCTGCGCCCTGGAGCAGCGGCCCGACGGCGCCCCCGGCGCGCTCGGCTTCCTGCTGCTGCTGGCCGCGGTGGTGGGCGCCACGCACCTCGTCTACCTCCGCCTGCTCTTCTTCATCCACGACCGCCGCAAGATGCGGCCCGCGCGCCTGGTGCCCGCCGTCAGCCACGACTGGACCTTCCACGGCCCCGGCGCCACCGGCCAGGCGGCCGCCAACTGGACGGCTGGCTTCGGCCGCGGCCCCACGCCGCCCGCGCTCGTGGGCATCCGGCCCGCGGGGCCCGGCCGTGGCGCGCGCCGCCTCCTCGTGCTCGAGGAGTTCAAGACGGAGAAGCGGCTGTGCAAGATGTTCTACGCCGTCACGCTGCTCTTCCTGCTGCTCTGGGGGCCCTACGTCGTGGCCAGCTACCTGCGGGTCTTGGTGCGGCCGGGCGCCGTGCCGCAGGCCTACCTGACGGCCTCCGTGTGGCTGACGTTCGCGCAGGCCGGCATCAACCCCGTCGTGTGCTTCCTCTTCAACCGGGAGCTCCGGGACTGCTTCCGGGCCCAGTTCCCCTGCTGCCAGGGCCCCCGGGCCGCCCAGGCCGCCCTCCCCTGCGACTGGAAAGGCGTCGGGTTGTAAGGGCTCTCCCGCCTCCCGCCCCGCCTTGCCCTTCGGCTTGGACGCTGACGCCGTTCTTCCTCTCTGCTCCCCTTTAATTGTCCAAACTGCCTTCGAAATGACTCCAAGTGCGTTAGCGCGTGGCCTGTACAGACTCCTTTTAGGGGGAAAGGGGTTTCCATTTCCAGCCCCACCCCTGCTCAGCTCGTTGTTCTCCTAAATATATATTTTCATCCTGAAAATAGGCCCCGCGGTCTTTGTATTGGTACTGATGTCTTCTATTCCATGTTATTACTTTTGAAAATAAAGGCTAAACTAATTTTCTTCATGCAACGTTTCCTACAGACCATGGCCAGTTTTCTACAGAAGCTATTTTTGACAACCTCAATGGCATTACACTTTGCAGTGGAGTAAAGGAGCCCGCAGGACTTTGCAAGTTCCATTTCTTGAGGGTCTTCTGTTGGAAGCCGGAGGAGGGGCGGGTGGGGTGGGGTGAGGGGGCGGGGGGTTGTCCAGTTCCCTCTGAATTGCCAGCTGTGGAGTGGGTCAGCTGTGCTGCTCTGGTTCTTGGAAAGTGTTGAAAACTGTTCGGTATTGAAAATGAATTTAAAGAGCAGCAGCGGGAGTGAGAGCCAGGCAGCTGCATGTCAGGCAGGGAGGAGGGGTGGTTTCCGGGTGCTGTCTACTGGAAAATGCAGGCCCGTGGCAGCTGCTCTCTGCATGGTACCAATCTTGACTGGAAATATTTCTGTGAAACTGTAGCTTTCAAAAGTTAAAAGGTGTTTTGGTTAGTGATGGTGGAGAAAATACAGTATTGCATGTTTCTGAATGTACTGCTGTGGTTCACTGATGGGGGCAGGGGCTCCAAGAAGCAGAGTACAAAATCAAAATTGTTTAGCTATTTTTTTGCCAATAAAAATTAAAACAATTTTATGGAAACAGCTTGTGCTTTGAGGAGTCCAGTTTTATTCTGGCTTATGAATTTCCACTTTGAAAATTGTTCTTTTGTTCATGGTATAAATGAATGGCATATAATGATACTCTACTTCTAGGAGACAAATGTTTCCTTAAAATGTTTGCTGGGTTAAGCTGTGCTGTTCTACTGACAGTTATTTTAAAGTACTAATGAGAACTATAATTTTAAATAGTATTTCTTTGTTAGACACATTGTAATCTTACATTGAAAGACTAAATTCTGCAAGTACTACATAATTTTGCTTATAATGCTACCTTTTTTTAATGTTCCTTCTGTGTTGAGGATTTATATCTGTATTTCTCTTTGCATTATACAAATATATGAGTATTTTCACTCTGGAGTATTTTGTTGTTGTGTGAGGCTGTAACTGGTACTAATAGACATCTAAGAATGGTACTCATGTTTGATGAGCCTTTTAGTGAGTGTCCTAGTTGACCATCACCATCTATGGCATCTGGAGGCTTGTCACTTAAAATGCATGATAATCTGCAGATCTCTCTAAGGGGAAGAAGCAGTAGACATACTTATAAAACATGAGCAAAGTAATAGTTTAAAACTGCATGTAGTAAATATGTTGAAATTTATTTTAGTTGAGCATCATATAAACTATTAAATATTCCAAAAGGGATATCATAAAAGGGTATAGCCACTTTAATTTATCTCTGGTAAATGGTCAGCATTGTGTTATTTTGTAAAAGTCAATTAGTCTGTGCAGACAGTCTCATATTTGGAAAATATGGAAAACTGTTACCCTATTCCTCCCCAGGCCCTGAGACCAGGTGATGTTAACTACGCAAGGCAGCCATCAGAAATCTCGCTCACCTAAAGACAGTGGCAGGGGAAGCCACTCTCCCCGCCTCTACCCCACCCACCCACGTGATCCAAGTTCAAACACTGGAAGTCAGTGAGCCCGCATGATATTTGGAATATCGAGACCAGGCATGGCACAGGGCACAGGCCTGCCTTGGCAGCAGCCGATGGCAGCAGCCTGCTGGCTCTCTGTGGCCTCAAGCTCATGGGTATTTTTATAGGAGAGTCTGTATGATGGTGATTCTCACATTTGAACAATGAGCATCAGCGCTCGTGCTTGTGGGCTGAGAGGTTCTGTTAGGAAGGATTGGGGTGGAACCAGGAGAGCATTTCTGTCAAGTTCCCCGGAGGTTGGAGGCATCCCTCCAGCCCTCGTTCAGACATAACTTACCTTAGACAGCCTGTGGACACGCCTGGTTGTCTGGTTTGGTTTTATTCGGATTAGATGGGCAATATCTAGTGAGAGGTGAGGGGAAGAGAGACACAGCAGCCGACTGCAGGGCACGAGAGAACAGGAGGCCGAGGGGATGCGCTCTCCAGGGCAAGGGCCTCGCACCTCAGCAGCTTCTTGGGTCAATGAATCTGTTCACACGACCTCGATTGTTAATCATAATAAGAATCATCAGGAAGAGGTCAGTGTGTTAGAATACTCCTCATTGCACCAGAGCAGGTATGGCATACTTGGAAAGGCCTCCCTTAAAACAGTTTCTGTGATTTGGGAAGTCGATGTAGCGCCCCCACCGCCCGCCAGGTGAGGAGTGGTCACTGCACTTGAGGCGATGAAAATAGATGTCTTATACATCAATCCAGGCATGTCCTGGAATGGAATTATTGAGTCAAAAATGATCATTTTGGGTCTTTTGATCACTTAAACATCTTTTCAAAAAGATCATGTCTATTTACATTTCCACCTATGTTCATTTTTCTTTTAGAAAATGAAATATCTCAAGCAAAATGGGGAATCATACAACAAATCAGTAACCATGGTGACGAGTAGGATCTCTGAAGCCACTCTCCAGCCTTTCCCAGTCTGTCACCACATTTGTTTTTAATTTTCTCCTGCTCATTTTTTCTTTCCTTTATATTTTTCTTTCCTCCCTTTCTTATTCCCCCTCGCCTTCCTTCCCTTCTTCCTTTCTTTATTTCCTCTCTCATTTATTTTTTTTCTCTTTTTAAAAAATTAAATAAAACACCAACAGTTACTTCTGCCAGGTCTTTGGTCTCACCATCAGGCTTCTACATTCTCAGTGTCCTGCCCTTAAGAAGTGCCTGGGTCTGTGCGAGGGCTGAACAGGGGTTTAGTTTTGCAGGTGCATCTCTGAGTGGAGGGGTTGGCTCCTCCCTTTGTGGCCTGCAGGATGACTGTAAACACCTTGCCTGCCGCAAAAGGCCCGTCATGCTCTAGCCTCATCCCCACTTGTGTTTCCATCTCTCTCTTCTCTGGTGGCCTTTGTATTACCTCTCCCTGGAAAGCCCATGTGCCTTCTTTGCCAGGGAATCCGTCTAGAGCAGAGGCAACATTCACAGTATTCCATGACAGAGATGGCATGGGCATAACTCGCCTGCACAACCCTGTCCCTGGGCCCTGGCTGAACACCAGGTCTGTGCTGGACTCAGATCGAAGACTTCAGAAGCCCTTCTCGGCCTGTCACCCTCCTCTGGGCTCTCATGGCACATTGTGTTTACCCCTATCAATCTTGGTGCATGCCATTGGCCCCTGGATCCCTCTCAGGCTTACGTTCTCCCACTCCCTCCTCAGGCCTGTACTCCAGCCCCTGCAGGTCACTGCGATGCCCTGAACAGATTATACTGTGTTGCACCAACATACCTTTGCATATTGTTTCTTGTGATCAGTCTTCACTCCCTTTTTCCCAGCCCACCTGCTGTTCAGCTTCCAAGGGTTGAACTTCTAGCCAAGAGAGTGAGCTGGCCCCACAGACAGGGGAGATATTCCCATGCAGACCCTGCAAACATCCCAAGGCTTCAAATCTAGTCATTAGAGGCAAGTGCATGGAGGATGGGTCGCACACTGTTGTTCGGGTGGCTTTTTAAGTGTTTGTACACTGAAGCGGCTGGTGTTACCAAACGCAGTGGATGCAGAATAGTGTTCTAGCTTGACACAACACTACGGGGCCTGTCTCAGCGTGAGTGACCTGCAGGACTCCCGCTGTGAGGGGGAGGCACACACCGCATTTTAGAGCAGTGATGGAGAACCTTTTGAGCTCGGCGTGTCAGCATTTTGAAAAACCCCAACTTAACTCTGCTGCCGTGTCACATAGAGAAATTTTTTGATATTTGCAACCATAGTAAAACAAAGACATATTTTTGATATTTATTTTATATATTTGCCACTTAACAAAGAAAAATCAACCCAAAAAAATGAGTTCACGTGTCACCTCTGACACGCATGTCATAGGTTTGCCATCACTGTTTTAGACCCAAAGCAGCAGCCTTTGTATGGTTTATTAGCCGCTTCTGGAGTAAATCGAAGGAAAAACAAACTTGATCTGAGTTCAAGGGGTTCTTTATGCTTTTTCTCCAACTTGGGCAAGACTTTTGGGGTCTAATCCAGACCATGAAGAGAGCTCTTTTGTCCTCCCTCTTCTTTCCTTTTCGGATGTTTTTGGTGAGGATGTGGTGCGGGTCCACAGTAGCTGTCCTGCAACTATGAGAAGAGGTACTGTCAACGCAGTAAAGATAACAGACCAGAACGACAAGAGAGCAGGCACCTGCTTTAACACTGCTGAGTTGCTTAACAACTCATATCCTAGACTGTTGGTTTTGTTTGTTTGTTTTGTTCTGTTTTAAATATTTTATTGATTTTTTTACAGAGAGGAAGGGAGAGGGATAGAGAGTTAGAAACATCGATGAGAGAGAAACATCCATCAGCTGCCTCCTGCACAGCCCCCCACTGGGGATGTGCCCGCAACCAGGGTACATGCCCTTGACTGGAATCGAACCCGGGACCCTTCAGTCCGCAGGCCGACGCTCTATCCACTGAGCCACACCGGTCAGGGCTACACTGTTGGTTTTGAAATAATATCTACTATTGCTTCCAAAGCTGACACTCAGGGGACCTGCCATTTAAAGCAACAATTAGCCACAGCTTTACTTAAAACTACTTCATCCCTTCCACTCTTTGATAGGCATGCTTGATACTCTGGAACTGGATTCACAAATTTTTATGTTTTATTTATTTATTTTTTAATCTTTATTGTTCAGATTATTACAGCTGTTCCTCTTCCCCCTCCCCTCCGTAGCTCCCCTCCACTCAGTTCCCACCCCACTCCAGGCCTCCCCCCGCCCAACTCATCCATAGGTGTAAGCTCTTTGTCCAGTCTCCTTCCACACCCCCACAACCCTTTCCCCCCAAGAATTGTCAGTCTGCTCCCTTTCTGTGCCCCTGATTCTATTACATTCACCAGTCTGTTCTGCTCATCAGGTTTTTATTCATTTGATTTTTAGGTTCACTTGTGGATAGATATATATTTGTTGGCACTTTGTTGTTCATAATTTGTATCTTTACCTTTTTCTTCTTCTCC